GAATTCATAGGTAGTTCTCTTTAACAGAGTTCTCTTTAACAGTCAGGTCTCTCTTCATATATCTTACTATGTGACAGGATAAGCTGCGGATTTATTGTCAAAGTGGTAGGATTGAAACTGCCTATTAGAAGTCTCATAACAAGTATGGAACTTGTGTAGTAGTAACACAGAAAGTAAAACAACAGGAAAGCAATATTGTTATTTGTAACAATCAAAACTCTTATGTACCACCATTTGAATCAGCAATATTTTTGTATGTCACTGAATGATTGAGGCGGCTTATGCATGGACTCCCTGTAGCTTCTATTCCCTAAGATGAATGCTCCTCAGCAAGTCCTCTCTACGTCATCTGACCTAAATAGAATGGGATATGATGTTCCAAGACTGGTATTAGAGAGGGAGAGTGGTTTTGCGGGATTTCTTAGCAAGGCTGGCAAGGAGTACATTTCTGCAGCTAAGACTAGTGCATTAATTATGCCCAACTATCAACTGAGGCACATGGCTTGGTTAAATCTGATTCGGGGTCCTGTAATGCTCTTTTGTGAGGCTATTTCAGAAGTTTAGCCAGTTCAGAGTGCTGTGACCACATTCATTATTAATAATTATTGTTATAAGGAAGCATGCGACTCTTAAAAAATGAATTATTTCTAGGCACATTTTAAAAGGCTGGTTTTGATTTGAGACCAAGCTATACAAAAGCCTGTTTCTCATGAGTTTGCCTAGGTAGCTTTGAGGTCTTTGGGAGAGGCTGTTCTTTTGAGCTCATTATCAGTGGAGCATGCTTGGTAAAACACAAGGGAAGGCTTTGCTGGTGGCTTTTTCCAAGTTTTGGAACTGCCTACCAAAGAAAACCAGATTAGCTCCATCTCTGTTATCTTATGCTGGTAAGACAAAGATATTTTATTCAGGCAGGTTTTAAGACATATAAGCTGGTTCAGCAGCTTAGTTAGGTGTGAGTACTATGTGTTCTTAATTGTTATCCTTAATATTATTTAGGATAGCTTTTGGGAAAATAAACTCTAATGAGAGGAAAGACCCTTAGCCAGGGTGAATGAGAATTGTACTCCTGATGTACCCACAGTACACAACTGAGGAAAGTTGCTCTACATCGAACAGAATACTTCCTAACTTCTTAAATGTTGAGAGTTCAAAATCAAAGGTGAAAGGAGAATCCACTGGAAGAATTATATCCCAGGTTCGCAAAAGACATACTTCACAGTAACAGACAAATGGAAATACATGCCATTTTAAAATAGGTTGAAGCAGAGACACATTAGCATTGTTTTGGGGGAGAAATGATAGAGTATTACAATTTAGATTTGGATTCAAATTACTGTTCCTCCATAGAAAGAACCCATGGCTTGTTGTAACACATCCTAAATATCTCATTCAATTTGTAAAATTGTATGTAAAAATGATCTACTTTACAGAATTATGACAAGAAGATGACCCACGCTGTAAAGCATTTTGGAACCTACATGTTTACCATAAATATATTTTTTTTTCAGTGTAGGAGCCTTTACAAATCATGAAATTATTTACAGCAGGGTTTATCCTATAACTGTATATCTTTAAATGATATAAGCTTTAAAGAGGTACTATTTGTTTCTTTGCATATTTATCTGATACATATTTATGTACCTATAGGGACTTAACTGATTAATCAGTGAGGGCAATCTTTAAATCAGTAGTGCTGTAGGTCAATGGCATACTTGAATCAGGAATGAATCTAGTTCCTGATTGTTATTATCTTTCAACAGAAGTCTCTGCAGTAAGCAGAATGGGGCCAGATGCTGTTTTACTTGAAAATAGCCTGTTTACATTTACACTGGGGATCTTCTGCAGATGGATGACTTGATACTAAGAAGTGCCATTTGGCAAGGCACTTGGCATTTCTGAGGAGGAAGCCTTCCATGACACAATGTGTTGCCTCTGCAATGGGAAGCCCAAGAGGATATCAGCCCACCTCTAAACACAGCAAAGTCATCTCTGGAGATTACAACAGTTGTTGAATTTACAGCATACCCTGGGAACCTCTATTTGTCAAACACTAGCAAGGCAGTCCTGACACGGGCATAGGTGAAGATGAATTTCCATTCAGCACAGTTTGCCTTCCAAGTCCATTAATCCTCAGGGTCTTCATGATGGATTTCATTTTTTATTATTTATTTTCTCACTGGTATTCCCTCCGACTGCCTTGCCACAGTGCAAAAAACAGAGCAGATGGCATTTCAACACTGAAAAAAATCCCCAGGAGAATACAGCAAGCCAGCCCACTCTAGAGTCATGTGATTTCAAGTCCAAGGAGAAACCCTGATTTCCTTTGGGACACAGAGAGGTAATCATCTGAGCATTCCCTGCAGGGAACAAGCGTGCGCATGTAGGAGAGGGGGGAGTCTTAAAAAGGGAATATAAAGCTAACAGGCCATTCATAAGGGAGACCACACACATCCTGGTATTTTAAGAGACAGTGCTAGAGCTGACCACAAATGACTGGGGCACTAATAACCAAAATATATTTGGATGAGGGAGGGTGGGGGACTCTTGCCAGCACATCTGAGCATAACATACTTGGGAGGTGTCCTTCATTTAACCTCCTAAAGACACTGACCAGTGTTTAATCAGAATGAACCAGGATTTATAACTCATTTAAGGATACAGTTTGACACTTTCTGTAATCATCAGAGCTGCTGAGGCAAGGACAGCTGTCAGGCCAAATGCCTTCATAAAAAGATGGATAAACTCAGATTCTGCTTTACCCTTCTTACTCAAAGGGTTATCATTAACTCCTTGGTTTATCGTACAGCTTGCGGCAAAGCAGATTCCCACAGAGTAAATGTTGTGCCTATATACTCAAGTTGCTATTATAATAAATAATTTTATGCAGTCCAAGTTATACCTAAGTAAGGATTTTCAGAACAGAGCAGATTTAAGTAGGTCAGGATGATTTACTGAAGTAATATGATACCGCCAGGCTACACATAATATTTGATTAGTGCTACTGGTATTGGTCACATCCTGGCCAAAATGGCAAGACAGAAAATATGATATAGAAAGACACAAGACTGAAATTATAATACCTCAAGTTTTTTTGTACTGATTAAGAAGCAACAAATATATTTTAACTGCGCCAGACTCACAGTGGTATACAGTTTCCCCCAATTTTTGGAATATATTTTTTCTATTAAAAGTTTTTGAACCACAAATATCAGGAAATGGAGTTTAAAAATAAACAAAAAAGGCATGGAAAATCTAACATTTAAAAAAAAATCTTAACACTCCTCTCCTTTTTATACAATTGTACTGGAAAGGAGAAAATAAGGAATTAGTTTGTACCTCTCCTTATAAACATGGCTTTATTGCAAAATTGAAAGAATACCAATTAACAATCTTAGCTAAATATTCAACTCTGGATTGTAGTAGCACTCTACCAGAGTTATTTAGCTCTTGAGAGCTAGAAAAACACTGAAGTTTACATTATCGTATGTGAATCATCAGTGGCAATTTACCACAATACAGTGTGGTATTCGGGTTATGAATTTAATCCGTTCCATGACTCTGGTCGCACCCCTATTTGTTCGCACCCTGAAGCAATTTTTCCCATGAGATTCAATTTAATTACTGTTATTCTGTTCGGGCGTCCGGGGACCACGGGTCTGGGGACG